CGGATCTTTCAGAGCGTACACGCCGATGGTCTGGGTTAGATTGACCAAAACTTAAAAATCATGTGGACCCACATAAACCTGTGGGTGAAAACCCTACATTGACCTCACTGCAGTCTTGGGGGGTTAAGTTATTGCCCCTCCTCGTTGCCTGTTGTGCTCAGGGTGATGCTTCCACACCAATATACCTGGTGGAACATCATCCAGTTCAGGTAAAAGGTAATTCAAATACAGCTTAGTGTGATATTTACATTTACTCATTTAGCAACTACAACTGAGGACGTCACTAAAGCTTCAGCGCAGTAGGAGACCTTGAGTGAGCACAACAATACTACATCTATTTAACCAGGTGAAGAAGTCCACAGAAAGAGCACAGTAAGTGCTAGTTAGCATGTTGGGCTTCCCATCAGGGAAACCACAGAACCAGAACTGGAGCATAAGGTTGTATGATTGAGGTTGATGGTGAAGACCCAGAAGTCACTCTTGATGACAACCATTAGTGACTTTAATTTGACTGATCATTTCTACTAAAACATATGCCTCATGTAGACGGCTGACATGTGGGTACACTGAGTGTTCTGTACTAACAATTAATATACACTTTGATTCTACACCTAAGTCCGACAGATGCAGTGTTTGGTGCCACGTCGGTCCGTGTCTTCCTACACTGACCTTGTGACCGAAACATTTTCTCTGTGGAGAAGTCAGCACTGTGGGCGATCACCGTCTCACTGGGCAGGATGGTGTAAGCCCAGCACCTGGATGTCTGGTGCTGAGTCTGGACTCCACTGAACTTAAAGGCACCCTCGCCCTCATTCACTGAACAAACAACCAACAGTTTGTTTCATTCACAGGCCTCCAGGCAATCAATAAAACTGCGGTTTAAATGTTATCTGTCCATGCCTCATTTCTCCAGACTCAGGATTAAAGCCAGTCTTTACCCACCTGACTGATCTTGAACTTCAACCTGTTTAAATCCTGCGTGACAATGGCTCCTTTGGATAAGACCTGGAGAATTTGAGAGGAAATGACACAAATGTGATAAAAGTAAAACCTGATTCCCATTCAACATCAGATCACAACACTGTGTGGTGTTCTGATGTGAGTCTTTGACATGTTATTTTGTTGTGGAATATGTTAAATGTCAAAAGGTTTTCCGTACGATTCAGTGAGTAGGAGATAAAGATATGGTTTCAGCTAAAAATACAGCTGCTCTAAAAACAGATCTGGGTCTGTTTAACGTCCCTTTGAGATATCTGAGTTACTGAAGATAACTGATCCTGAATAACTGGTCTGACAAAGCTGGTTACCAACCCTCTGAAAACCCTGAGTCATTAATTGCAGCAGTAAAATGTTATAATTCAGTGAACTAAGCACTGCACCAGAAACGGGCCGAAAATAATCAGACTAAATATTACTAAATATCAAAGCAGTAGCAGTACGTTATAAATTAGTGCTAGTTAATTCTTTTTGATGGGAGGACCCATTGAGTTGTTACAGGACTCCAGCTCGAGGTGCATGTGTAAGTTACTTAATGGTTTCATAATGTTACATGTCTGTAGCTACAGTAGCCATGATAACGTTAGCTAACTTGCTAACTTGCTGATATATATACTGTATATATATATATATATATATATATATATATATATGTTGCTATTGCTAGCTGGCTAACTGCTAGGATTGCTGTGGAGCATTTCATGGCTATGCTAGCGTGGCTAAGGTTGCGGCAAGACAGTTTTAGTTGGCTCTTGCGTACACACGATAACTTTATTCAGTTGTGCGCTTAGTGGCTGCATTCAATGGGTTTCGTAACACCTTGCTGACGACACGAAGGGAGGGGAGGGGGAGGGGCGTGGCTGATGAAGCATTTGTTTTGTCCAAGTGTAAGTAAGATGTCAATATTTGATATGAATGTCATTTTTAAAATATCTTTTTTGTGTCCATGTCTCTGTAAAAAAACCCAACTGGAGACAACCTGAGGGACAGTTCACCCATCACTCACCAGGTACATCACATGCACAGAGCCCTGTTTTCTCTCCCACCACTGTGTACCGGATGGAGATGTCTTCTTCTTTGTCACAGGAAGTGGTTCATCCTTCTTCTTCACCTCCAGGGTGCTGACTGTTTTAGTATCGAGATAAAAGCCTGGCCAAGGACACTGTGTGATGTCCATCCTCATAGTATGGAGTTCTATAACCGGAGTAGCCCAGTTCTGGTTTATTGCTAACCTTGGTTGTAGAAAGAAACATTATAAATAAGCTCATGGTGGTTGAGACAGAAGAAAAAATTGGAAAGTATGATCAGTTTTTACAAGCAAGGTAAATGTTGAGATATAGAGAATGGCCACTAGCTACTATGGTGGAACCTTGGTCAGGTGTTACATTTTTCAGAAAGCATTTCATTTTCATCTTTCGTGCTGCGATGTCATCTTCATGAAAGCTCTTTTTCGATTTTGGCTTCCGACTTACGTGGAGCTGGATGTCCCTCCAAAGTTTTCTTGTGTTAAGTGAGAAACTGGCGAAGCCATTGCTGTCAGTGGTGAGATTATGTAGCCGACGTGCTGACCACCTTTCACCCTCAAACACGTAGAGCTTCATGTCAGGAATGGGTGTATTATTGAAGTGAACTGCTTTGACCTGTTGAAAAGCCACAAAAGGTGTATCACTGAGAATGCACATGCTTCTGTGGACATACTAAAGAAGTGACAACCACATGTTACACTTACTTGTCCCGCCACATTTTCTCCTTTGTTATAAATCTTGGGTATGTGAATAAAGGACAGCTTCCCAATAACATAAGAAATCTGTATCCTCTTCTCTTGTGGGCGTGAAATACCTACACAAGAAGTCTCCATGTTACAACAATGTGTGCGCCATATTGTTTAGATACATGATGCACTGTATTTTTCCAAAACAAAAACTTCTTCTTTTTAAAAAAGATTATAAATAAAATACAGTAAGACTTGCCTGTTCCTTCCTCTTCCATTTTGACTCTGAGCCGCAGGTGATCTTGCACCGCTTTCTTGTCCATCTTTGTGAAGGTCGACATCGGGATGGTAAAAGCAGCACAGCCTGTCTTTTCTGTCTAAAAAGTAGAATAAAAAAGATTAAATAAAAAACACAAAAAATACACATAACAGATGAAGTTAGTGATGTAATTCAAACTTTAAACTGGTTACAACACTTTTCTTACATTCAGTCACGTTTTTCACTCCTCAGTTAGTTACTTTCTCAGTATTCGCAGTTCAAACTGTCAAGCACTGTTCAGACCCTGTCTTCTTCCTGTAAACTGTATTCCTGTTAGACTGACATGTCACACACTTGCCCCAGCCTTGTTACTAACCTAGCACATGTCAGGATCACCAAACGACCACCTAGCAACTATTTAGTAACGCCATAGCAATCAAGCTAAACGCCCTGGTTTCATTTTGCTTTTACTGTGTTTTTGCATGCGTGTGTGTTTCTACACGGCATCTGCTCCCTCTAATTGTCCTTATTTATATTAAGCATATTGTTTGTCCTCCCTCTGTAACTCTACCTTATTTCTGTCCTGCTTTCTATGTGCTATATAAACAAAGTTATTATTAATTTGTTCAGAAATAATATAGGGCAACTTCTGTAGCCAAGTGCGAACATCAAAGACCATCTTTGAACAGATATTACGATATTTGTCTCTGATACGATAATGTGTGACTATGCTGTCAAATAACTAATGTTATACAGATGTAAGAATGATAAGAATATTGCTCTGTATGGTATGAATGTAATATGTGTGTGTGCGTGTTTTCAATGTTGATAGAAGATAATCATCATGTATCTGTATAGTAAAATATACAGTATAGTGGAAATTAATGATGTAAACTGTATGTATGAGTTAATCAAGAATAATAATGAAAATATATAATAATAATTTATAGATATCCTGTCAGTGTAATAGTGATATATCTTGCAACTAAAAATATGATAATTATATGAAATAGTGTCAAATAATATGAAATTAGTGCAGGGATATTTTACATAATATAATAATTAAAAATATTAGTTAAATACTGCTTTAACTGAACAAACTCCCTCTGCTGGTGAAGACTGTGAGATTTGGTTGAAAGCTTTGGAAAAAAAAAAAAAAAGCCAGTAAGCTTGAGTTTAATTACTATCATGGTTTTATGCTCCTCAATTTGTATTGTAGACTGTGATGACAAGATATGAGAATATTCAGTATGTTTTTCTAATGTGGTGTTAAACGTGCACAGTATGTGATATGTACAGGATACACACAGTCTGTATGGGCAGACGGTCCAACTCCATATGAGTCAATACAGCGACTGTACCTGCTTTGTCTCCTTGAAGCACGGACCTCTACAGAAGGGATTCCTCTGGATGTTCAGGGGTAACAATAGATAAGACATAAGTAGTATAGGATGAAGAGGTCGGCACATCTCAACTTCAACACTGCCTGGCACAGGCTGTCCATATGTAATACCTGATTAGATGAAAATAAATAAACACACGTGTGTTGTTGAAAAGGAGGAACTCACCACGCTGCATCTGTTTCAGAGTGCAATTTGTTCCTTTGTCAAGAAAAGGCTTTTACTTACTGTGCACATATTTCAGCTTTGATTTCTTCTGCTTCGATACTTAGTTCATCAGTTGCGTTTATTTTCACATCAAATTTAGGCAAAACTGAGGACAAAATATATGGTTGTTAACGTTCTTGCTTCGTTACAAGAGGATGGAAATGGAACGTAACAGAAACAGAACTACCATATTTCTCCACCTTGAAGCTGTGATGAAGTTTCTGTTCGCCAAATGACACAACAACCTGGTAGAATCCTTCACTGGCCTCAGAGTTCAGGGAGTAAGACAGCTGCAATATTTTAGCATCGGATGTTTCATTCAGCCACTGTCCGATCCGGTTATTGTTAGCATCCTGTTGAACGAAATAAAAGAGAAGGAACACGTGTTTACGACACAAAAGAAGGAAACAAGTGTGAAATACAGTGAAAACCGTGCTGCTCATCGTTTTGTTTTCTCCTTCAACAGGACCGCAGATAAAACTGGGCCACACATTCAGATTGTGTCAAATTTTTCTTGTTGACTCAGTTTTGAAAAACATCATATTAATGAAAGTGCTTTTAACTTAAGCAAACGTGAAGCCTACACTTTGCCTACATATTATTTTGAAACTACTGTCAAAGGTTATTAGTAGTGACAGACACTGTATATACAGATATACAGATAAAATTCACTTGAATGGGAAAGTGGTCTCCGACTTTTGGATCCAACCGTATATTTGTTTTAAAAAAGTGCATTTAATATAGTTTAACAAGGAGGCTGTCAAAAGCTCCAGAAAAATAGTAAGTGGACCTTAACTTAAACATTTTTTAGTCAAACTACATTAACCTAATTTAAGAAAAGGGACAAATCTATTCAAATGCAGCTTGTAAATACATGGCCTTCAAGTTAAAGTTTTTTCTTTCCAAGAATGAATTTTTATGCTTAAGTTTAATGTATTTTCTGGTAGCCATTGTCATTATACACAACAGATGTTTTTTCATTTTCAGTGATGTTTGATGCTCCTGCCACAGCAAAGCCAAAAATAAGCTAGGTACCGAAATATTTAGTTAATGTTGAAATAATAGCTTTGAAATACACTCAGCTTATAAAGCACTTGATGTTTCTAGGTTTAACGCTGAATAAAAACCGTCCCATGTTGTTTCAAGGTGTTTGTATATGTATCAAACTTAACTCTCAGTCTGAAGATGAATAGTATTCGTCTTACCTAATTTCAATTAATTGTACTGCAAAAGAAAGAGAGAAAGAAAGAAGAGAGCTTTGTTAAAGAACATGTTGGTTTTATAGTTGTTCTCATCATACAGTTGCCTAATGAGTCTGGGCGAGCATTTTCTTTATTTAAGATATCAATAACGTCACAGTAATGAGCAGCCAAAGCTCTGATATCTTGATATCAGAGTACAGTTGACAACTGTCACACAGTCCATGCAGACGTCAGCTCTTATATTCATGTTTTTAAATATGAAACATGTAACACTTATCAACATTACAAAGGATCATAGAGTATCTGTCCTCCATTTATATTTTATTTTCAATACAGTTTCATAGTCATCACTTTGAATTTTATCTTCTTCAACAAAATGGGAAACTAGTGTTCGGAGTGTAAAGAATCATTACAGCTTCAGGTTGTACTATTGACCCTTCATCGGGATGATTGATCAGAGACATAAATCTGATTAAAGAGAACAACCATGTCGATCACTCGCTTCATTACATAACTTCTGTTTAACTCTGCCAGCCAGTGTGTATATGTCAGTTCACCAGGGCACAAATTAAGACCTGCACAGTATCACTAACACTGTGGTTTACACATGAAATCTTAAAGAAAGGAGACACAGTTCAAACACTCACCAGCCGACTGGCAGGTCTCAACTTGGTGTCCAATGTTATGACTCTGAAATGTACTGACAGAAACGCACAGAGATTAAATGAAGCTCATCCACAGCCGCATTAAACATCCTGCCCGACACTAAATCTGCTTCTTCCGTCCACTCAGAAGTGACATCAGTACGATCAAACTCACAGGTTGGATAAGGTCAGAAGAAGAAAAGGTGATTGACTATTGTCTTTTACATGATTCCCTCTGTTATCTGTTTTGCATGCTGGGATTCTCTGTTTGTAAATCAGCTGAACAAACTTGACTTGATATGAAACTACATAAACAAATTCAAAGAGAGGAGAGAGGATAGAAACACAAAACCTTTATTATTGATCTGTCAGATCTTTAGACCATCAACCACACATTAAAAACCTTCATAAGCCAAAATCCAACTAATAAAATAATCCAACATCTAAACCAATCAACTCTTATATCCGGAGCCAGGCGTTTCCTGTCATGCCCGGAGGCCTACCTGAATTCACTACCTGAATTTCCTTCGGGAATAATAAAGTATTTATCTATCTATCTGTCTTGCAGTCGGTGCAGAGCTTCAAAAACCTGCAGCCGCCTTGATGTCGTGAGGTTATTCTCGCCTATATTTGCATGACGACAGAGCAAGTTGGGATCAAGTCGGACAGAAAACTATTGGTGATCAATTCTGCCCAGGCCTGGCTCATCTCCAATGAGCCTACACTGACCCACTTCTTTAGCAACACTACCATTGTGGCGTGGGCGGAAATCTTGGAAGCTACAGAGAGCCAAAGTCATGACGTCACGTCGGGCTAGTCCCCTTTCAGTTAGCTTCAGTAACTCGGTGCATTTCAGCATTTTTTAATCGATCTTTGTGAGAAGATGAATCGTGTTCCTCTGTAGTTCTTTCTCACACTTAGAGGTTGAAACCTTCATGATTTAAAAAAAAATACAAATTTAGCTCTAAACACTAATGTACTGGTTACTCCCGTCTATAAACTGTATATACATTATTGTGTCCAACAGCATAGATCACCGGCTCAAACTCACTTGTTTGTCCGGGGAGGTAGATCGGTTTATCTGTTTGGATGAACGTCACTGGCTGATAGACTTTGAACATGACTTTCCTGATTTCTTTAGAGTAAAATGTGTTGCCTTGTACCTCCACCTCGAACTTCTGCACCCTTTCATTCTGCACTAAAGGAGCCTGCGAGAGAAAGATATTGTATAGGATCCAGGAAAACCGTTAACAAGGCAAAACCAAACTGATAATTATATTGAACAAATTAGCACACATTTAAAAAAATGGGAAAGTGGAAATGGGAAAAAGAATCTCTGGAGCTGACCTTAAAGTGAGTGCAGGTATGAAACTCTTCACTGGATGCTTGTTTGAGAAGGGTTGTGTTCTTCTCTTGGGAGATCAGAGTGACGGTCATGACCAGAGTCTCGTTGGGCTGCAGGAGACTCACACAGAATTTGGTTTCAGCTCCAGCTTCAAGAACCGCAGGAACAGCCACCATGTACTGTCTATAGACACAGAAAGACACACACACACACAGTGGATACCTCACTGGGTCTGTACTGCAGATTATTTAGCAAAACTTGATCTAATATTTAAACTAGTTTAAACACACACACAAACAGTATTATCATTATTATTTTCATACAATTATTATTATTATACAAAGTAAACTTACGGTCTGGCCAACACTTGACCCACAGACATCCAGCTCAAGAGGACACACAGTGTCCATGTCCACATCTGACTCCCAGGGTGACCCATGACTGACTCGGGCAATCCTCAGCCAGCACACGTTAAATAGCCCCTGCTACAGGAACCCACCCCCACACACAGACACCCTCCACACACACACACACACACACACACACACACACACACACACACACACACACACACACACACACACACACACCATTTCCAGGTATCTCGTAAGTAAATCATTTATAAACTTCACGTTGTTTAATATTGTGTATCAGGCTGGAAATTAAATAATTTTTTGTAAGAATTTAATCACGCAGTATTCAAAGTTCAGAGAGTTTGTTTGTCATTGCAGGTATAAAAAATAAACAAAGGTTCTGTAGGACCAGGATTGAGCAACTGACAAAATCAAGAATAAAATACAATAGTTTGTGCGATGATGTTCATATTGTATTTTATACAGTATCTCATTGTCAGAAATGCTGCTCCTGGTAGTTTGTTCTGCCTGGTTCTTCCACAGTGACAATGCCATGATTAGAGCACTGTAGTCTCCTCTGTCAATTTAAGATGTCATTGTTACAGTAAATTGAGTTCTGCAACATTGCCCTTTACCCAGCGTGGGATGTTTGATTTGGTCGTGCAAACTGCTCTTAACCTGATGAAAGGCCAAAGGTTTTCCACTAAGTAAACCTTAGCGGACTGATAAAGTCCTCAAACTTTGCTGAGGAGTTACATCGCAGTCAGAAATGTGCTTACTGTTTAAAATAGTTCAACCTCACAACTATTTGTATTTGCATAAGACGATATATAAATAATATATATATATTATCTATATAATAAAAATATGCAACCGCTTTTCTTGTGAGGTTTATGCAAGTAATGTACTTTTCAAGCAGAAAAGGTGATTAAATGTTCATCGTAGGGATAAAAAAAAAAAAGTACAGACAAATTTAAAATGTCAGTAATTGTTCCACTTCAGTAATAATATTTGTTATTTGAACAATAAAATGTCAGTCATACTTTAACCCACTGGAATATTAGTAGTGACAGCCATCACTAGGAGCCAACAGCAAACCATATAAAGTATAAAGATGATGATAAAGGTTTGGAGAGCAATTTTTGTTTTAACCTTGTTTCTTCCTGGTGTCAAATGGCTGATATTATCAGCTGTTAAAAACTTGCTAGTGACTCATCAGCTCCCCCCCTCAGTGACAACAGACATTTCCCCATTTGTTTTGTTTGGTTTGGCTTTATGGGTCTTTTACTGGAAAAATGCTGAGCTTGCTCCGTCTATATTCTACAGAAGATCATAGGTCAAAAACTATTTGCTTGATTAGATCTGAGGCCATAATTGCGACACTCGGGTGGCGAAATAGAGAAATAGTACAAATTCAGAATGCATTAGAAGTCACTGGGAGGTTTGTAATGTTCAGTAATGCCTTCACTGTTTACCTTCAAAAAGCCTTCACCTGTATTTGGGTGGAAACTC